TAAGAAAACAAAAAACTTTAATATACCATTTATAGCTACCCCAGCCTGTCAAGAACAGAGGCATAAATGTGACAAAAGACATACAAAAGGCCTCCTGTTCAGAAAATTATAAAAAAAACTACCATAAACTGTTAAAATCCAAAACAAACAGGAAACCACATCACCCTTCTCAAGTGTAAGACATGATATCGGAAAGGTATCAAAGCTTCCCCAATTGCTCTCGGGCTGGGTAAGCAACCTTGGCTCAGAAGCCACTTCTGGCCACTGCCTGCTTCTGTACAGCCTATGAGCAAGAACCACACCAATACAGCCAGCAGAGAGGCTATCATGACACGTGAAAAGCACATGGAATTCAACTTCATGCCCATTAATGAAGATTTCCTGGGGCACAGCCACACTCCCTCATGGACATCCATGTGTGGCTGCATCTGCGCTACAACAGCAGAAGCGGAGGGGCTGCGACGGAGACCGGCAGGCCCACAGAGCCTCACGACCCAGAGCCTCTGCAGACAAAGTCTGCCGATCCCTGCTCTGAAGAGTCAAGGCAACTCCCATCAAACTCCCAAGTGTATTTTAGGTGGAACCTGACAAGCGTGCTTGAAGGAGCAGGAAGGGCCACCAGAGCCAAGACGACGCTGGAGGACTGGTCTTAAGCTTAATTGTGACACTCGGGTGAGTAAGGCAACAGAGCGCGGGTACGCGATCAGACTGAACATCCAATGGGACGCACCATGAGGGCTTCCCAGACACACCCCAGGTGCCATGATCACGACAAAAGTGCTGCTGCAAAGACGGGAAGAACAGTCGAGCCAACCAAGGCTGCCAAGAAGCTGGGGAGTCCGACACGGAAGAACAGAAGGAAATCTTGACCTTCTCTAACTCCACACACACAGTAACAGGCAGAGGGACAATACACATCAAATGCACAACCATCAACCTTTAGACACAGTACAGAGGAACACCTTCCCGATACCAAGGAAGATAAAGACCTCTTAAACAACACCCCAAAAACAATGACTGTAACAGGATGTCCGACAAAACGCTCTACATCAGAATAAAACAGACACACACTCACTGCTGTCGAGTCGGACTCAACTCGTAGCGATTCCTCCTTAGGTTTCCTAGGCGGTATCACTACAGAAGTAGATTGCCCAACCTTCCTTCCAAGGAGTAGCTGATGGGTTTGAATTGCCAGCTTTTTGGTTAGCAGTAAAATGCCTTAGGCACTGCATCACCAGAGCTCCTACACTGAAATAAGAGCATCTTTATCAAACGATACAATTCAAGTCAAAATACAAAAGAAATAATAAAGCATGTGGGGGGTATTATGTCACATAATAAAGCATGGGGTTTGTACATATCAGCGTTCAACAGAGCAAGGGACGTTGAGTCAATCTTAATGAGGTAGACGGACCACAGCTTCTGGGATCTCCATTTGCTGATGTGGCACAACTCAAAATGAGAAAAAATAGCTGTAAACATTTGTTAATCAGCAAAACATGGAATGTACGAAGTAATGATCCTAAGAAAATGGAAAGTTGTAAAAAATGAAATGGAATGCATAGATATCCCAGCCACTGGTGAGCTGAAATGGACTGGTATGGGTCATTCTGAATTGGTCTGTCATATGGTCTACTGTGCCGAGAAGGCAAACTGAAGAGGAATGATGTCGCACTGATCGTCAAAGACAATGTCTCAAGATCAATACTAAACTACAGTGCTGTCAACAATAGGATAATATCCACATGCCTACAAGGAAGTAGGGAAGAAGGGAGCTCTGGTGGCACAGTGCCTAAGGCATCTGACTGCTAGCCAGAAGGCTGGCAGTTCAAACTCTCCAGCCACTCCTCGGGAGGAAAGTTGAGCAATCTACTTCCATAGTGATATCGCCTCGGAAACCCAAGGAGGGGTTGCTAGGAGTCAGACCCAACTTGACCACAGTGAGTTTGGTATTTTGGTTTTTTGGACAAGGAAGTGTGGTTAACATTACTATTATTCAAACTTACGTACCAAGCACTAAAGTCAAAGATTAAGGAATTGAAGATTTTCACCTACTTCTGGAGTCTGAAATTGACTAAACATGCAATCGGGATGTGCTGGTCATTACTAGTGAGCGGAATATGAGAGGTGAAAATGAAGACGTATCATTTGGTAGTTGGAACCCACGGCCTCGATGAGAGAAGAGACAAGAGAGATCACGTGATGGAAAGTTGCACCACTAACGACCTATTCACTACAACTCATGAGGTTTTCAGTGGCCAATTTCTTCAGAAGTGGACGACCCCATCCTTCTTCCTTAGCCCAGCACGGTCTGCAAGCTCCACTGAAACCTGCAGCTTCCAGCCCCACAGCAACCCATGAGCTACCCCAGGACAGGAATCAAATCGATTCCATCTGTGGAAAGAGACCACGGAGAAGCTCAGTAGCATCAGTCAGAACCAGGCCAGGAGCTGACTGTGGGACAGACCATCAATTGCTCCTATGCAAGTTCAAGCTGAAGCTGAGACATTAAAACTAGTCCACGAGAGCCAAAGCACGACCACGAGTATATCACTCCTGAATTTAAAGATCATCTGAAAAATAGATTTAATCTACTGAACACCAATGACCAAAGACCAGAGAAGTCGTGGGATGACATTAAGATCATCATCCATGAAGCAAAGGGCCATCAAAAAGGCAGGAAAGAGAAAAAGAGGGGAAAAAAAAGTTGCTAGAAGACACGTTGAAACTTATTCTTAAACACAGAGTAGCTCGAGTGAATGGAAGAAATAATGGCATGGAAGAGCTCAGCAGATTGCAAAGGGCAGCTGGAGAAGACAATGAAAGTGTCATAACGCAGCATGCAAAGACCTAACCAAAAGAGAAGAACATGCTC